AGATAATTGGATTGGAAAAAGTTATTATTCTGAAATCCTTTCTGCAGAATTTTAAAGATCTACATAATGTTAACTAATGGCCTTTTCTGTGATTGCTCAATAGGCTTCTAATGTATATTTGTTAATGACCACAACAACGAATCTTCTATATTTTTATTGTTAACCACTTTCGTCTACCGTTTGCTAATGCAGGCACTATATGAGGAAGCAATTCCAGCATTTAATGTCATGGGAAAGAAGTCATTCTTCCTAGGGCAGGTTGGAAATGGAGCGAAAATGAAACTCGTTGTCAACATGATAATGGGGAGGTAACTGTTGTTTCTTCTTAAAGAATAAACTTCTCCATTATCTAGGTAAGCTATAGCCAAAGAAGGGACTTTCTCTTAGAAAAATAAGTAAAGAAGGGAAATGGTTTTTTTTATTTTAAAAAAAAAGGAAAGGAAAAGTTTTGGCTTAAAACCTCCAAAGACCCAGGTATGACCATAAACAGAGATTTCTTATGAAAAAATTTGTGCACATCAAGATTATTTTCTGAGATATACATCCCTGAGGTATTGGATACTGGTAAGTTATTGAAATTTGTTCCAAGTACAAATAGCTGAAAGCGTAATGCCATACATCCTAATCTATAACAATGGATCCTTTTAGTTTATATGATGTGGGACAACTCTCATGATTTGTCATTCTGCATGATCAATAACTGTTTAACACAAAGAATGGAGAAAATTTTCATCTGTGATTTGTCATTCTATGGGAATGATTTTCAAGAGCATGTGGAAGCAATGTTTTTGCTTGTTCTTGAATTGGGGATTGCTTCATTTATATGCAGTTAACTGAAGCTTGCTTTACTGCAACCATTTCTAATAGGATTTTAAGTAATTTATAATGTGTCCTAAAGGGGGAACACTTTCATAGAGCGAAATCTTCTTGAAATTGGCTGTTTTCCAACATTTTTTATACTGCTTATATGTTTAGGTGAAACATGAAAATTGATCACAATTTGATGAATGTTTCATGTCCTGCTTGCATTGGAGCTGCAAAATTAGACAGGCAGTGATAAATATTCAAGTTTATATGGAGTTGCCTGAAGTGACAAGACATTTTCTTCTTCTGGATGTTTGCTTAAACTTCTGGACGGGCCAACATATTTATGGATTGATTTAGTATAGCTATTCTTTCCTACTAATAAACATATTATGCTCTATTCTATATGTCATTGTGCTTGAATAATAGAGAGTTTCTAAAATGTGTTCCATATGATTGAACATGTCCTACCAATGAACCAGTCCTATCAATGCTATTCTTCCCGTGCACTTTTTCAAGACTTTGCTATTCTTCCCATGCACTTTATCAAGACTTTTGTTTTTTTTCTGCATTTGGTACTGGATATGATATTTTGTTCTCTGCAGCGTGATGAATGCATTTTCAGAGGGGCTTGTACTGGCTGGAAAGAGTGGACTAAATCCTAATACACTTCTTGAAGTCTTGGTATGATACAGCATGATTTCTGTTATGATTGGAGCTTCCTACTGATGTGTTTTTTCCCTCTGTTTTTGGTTGGGGATGGGGTGCTGGCAGGATCTGGGTGCAGTTGGTAGTCCCATGATCAAGGGAAAAGGACCTTCTATGATTCAAAGTAATTACTCCCCTGCTTTTCCTCTGAAACATCAGCAGAAAGACATGAGGCTGGCACTTGCCCTTGGGGACGAAAATGCTGTTTCCATGCCAGTAGCAGCTGCTTCCAATGAGGTTTTTTTTTCTTTCAAAATTTTAGCTCCGCAAAAGAATCCTACTAATATACACTGATTATCTCTTTAAGTTTTTCTTTTATATAAAAAAAAATTTCAAGGCTAAGGGTGGGTGTGATGTCAGAATCATATTGTTCAGAACTTTTAGGATAAGAAAAATCAAAGTTGAGTCCTTCCTTCCTTCACTGGTATGATGCCTTCATATTCTAGTTTTGTCCATTTAGTATGACAAGATGCCACTTTTATGAGAATGATCTTCTTTCTGTTAGTTAAATTATACCCCCCAGAAGTAGGTAGAAAATTTTATAAATATTTCTCAATGAAACAACTTTTTTTTTCTTTCTTGACAATAACAAACTCCATTATTTAAAGGCACCACGGAATCCCATAGCCCAATAGAGCTATCATGGTTACATTATCTTCAGTGCCTTCGTTAATAATTTGGTTCGGGATTACTTGATGAGAAATTTATAAGTGATACCTGTTTCTGCTTGTAGGCTTTCAAGAAGGCCAGAAGCATGGGGTTAGGAGATCTCGACTTTTCAGCTGTTTTTGAGGTTGTGAAATTCTCCAATTCATCTTGATTCTCCTTACATATAGTTAATGACTTCAAGGGAAAACATGGTGGGCTTGAATTTTATCATTGAGTTTTGAAGTTAAAGCTACGCTGGTAAAGCCATTTTGACGATTCTGGAACTCTATTGTAATGAACTTGCAAGGTATTGTGAGAATGTTTTAGTTACTTTTCTTGATTAAAAAAGGTAGGATTTTCTGCAGAGTTAATATAATAAAAAAGGGTAAGATACGTCTGTTGGGTGTCTTTTTTAATAATTTTTTTTCAAGTATCAATTTTAGAGAGGAATACAGTAGCAGAAATATAGTACTGAATGGACTGCATAGTTCAGTTAGAAATGACAAACTTCCAATCATTTCAGGTCATTGTGAAACCTGGCCGATAATTTTACACGGTTCATTACAGATATTGACAAAAAAAAAAAAATCATTTTCAGTTCACAAGAACTTAATCAATAGAAAAAAATTATTGCTCCATTCCCCCAAAAACTATTTCTTCTTCTGGTTGCAGACCCATATCCTTATGTTCCTAAAAACAATAGTTGGATATGAGAAGAATTTCATAGGGAGATGTTCATTTTTCTTTATAGGAAAACCAGGATTGCAACGTTTTCGATTAATGTAATTCTCGTTTAACTCAAAAGAGGAACATAGATGATCGCTTATTTGCAGTATATTTATCCTGGATTTTCTCTATAGTTACGAGTTTTTTTCTTAATACGAGAATCTATAATTTTCTAAATAAAAATGAAGAATATGAATGAAGAGAAAAGAAATTGTAGCCAGCGTTTATTTAAGATTCATTTAACTTATTAAAATTAAATGTTAGTTAAAAATCTTGTGGGGAAAAATTATTACAGCAAGGACATTTTTATTAATTTTGTTTTTAAAAAATTACATATTTCAAATTAACTATATTTTATAAACATACATAAACCTAAAAATTAAATTGTATATATTTTTTCTTCTACTTGATAAATAAACATATACAAGCTTTTATATCATCCAACATTTTGTCCAAATGGACCGTTCAAGTGATATCAAATTTTCTTTATTCTCTACGAAAAAGGAATCTTTGATTTATTAGTTTTTTGTACAAAAACTTTTCAACTCGGGCAAGAAGATCACCTGCACAATTGAGTTGGACTGCAACATTACACCACTGCTTATGGACCATTTCATCCAATTGGCACCTGAGTTTAGGCCTGTTATGAACAACATACCTCTTAAAGCACAAAACGAGAGAAAAAAGTTCCCATTAGTTCTTCCCAACAGGACGTTTACAAAAAATTAATAAAATTAATAAGATCCTCCATATCTCCCCCACAAGCAAACAAATTATTAGAGAAACCAAAAAAAAAAAAAAAAGAAAAGCAGGCAGCATATCCCTGCAAATACAAGCTGGGAAGATCCCTACTGAGCTCCTCTCTTTCTGACATCGCCCAAAAATTTTATTACACCATTACAAGACAAATAGACCAAATCGTTCACCTCCAGAATATGAGTAGCATAGAGCCGCAACATTCTTTTCCATCATAAAATACGGAAACAATGGTTTGCAAAAAGGACCATAATAACAGTTCTCTATCAAAAACTTTTCTTGGTTGGGTGCATCTAATGCTGTACAATAGCTAGATTGAAAATGTAATGCAAGACTTAAAAACGTAAATATAGGGAAGGTTCATGTCTATACAATCTAATGTGTATTGCCTTCATCTTTTTTCCACTTGGACTTAAAAACGTGCCATGGTGATGCTCCCTGAAATGAGAACTTGACAAAAGCTGATTTTCATGTTAGGCATCTGGATGAAAGCAAGGACGAAACAACTGGAAATAGTCAGTCAGTGCTATCCTTTCCCAGGGTGAATCCCACCTGTAAGCTCCAAAGCTATGCCTTAGCAATGTTCCTACCTGAGACAGCAATCAGAATGCAAGTTATTGATGGAACATTAATATTGTAAAGCTCCCAAGGACAGACTGATCAAGAGATTAGTAGTCTACTGGTAGTTTCAGGTTACAGACAAGAAATGAAGAACATGAGAATTCAGGCATTTCACCAACACAAAATGCAGCAGTTAATAGGTGATGCCTATTTACGGACAAAAAGAATATCTATTGGACTGCTTTCCAGTTTTGGTTTGGAAAATAGTCATCAGGAATTTGGTGAAGCTGTTACTCCTGGTTTTTGCAGTCTCAATCCAAGTTCCAAATGCAATTTTAAATTGGTAAAAAGCAATAACATCCAAATCAAGGGAATTTACTAGACTTGTTATGTCCTTTTATTTACTAGACTTTGAGAGGCACAAATGTAAGATGAAAAGGCAGGCAATTTTCTTTAGCAAGAGATTGAACAAAAAACTTCGAGTCCCACTAACGCTCATGATGTAAAGAAATCATTCATGAAGTGCAGTGTACCTGTGCCTTTGGTCCTGGTTTCCTGACTTTGTAGAGAAGGAAGTTTCTTCATATATGGATGGATTAAGTCATCCAATTTTACTAGCCAGAATGCAACGGCAGACGATGTCTGGGGCATAGTCTGAAAACTTTTAATGATTTCTTCCATACCACCAAAGCCTTCATCATCATTGCATTGCCACAACCAGTCTTCATTAAATGCACCAACAAAATCAGCAACTACCTATGAAGAGTTTAAAATGCACATTGCAATTCACCTCAGAAAGACACTTCCATGTTCACAATAGTTAAAAGTTAAAAATTAAATTAATCTAGCAAACAAAAAAAAAATGTGTAACACCTGCAGAAGTTCGGATAAAAGATGAGGTGCGCCTAAGCCGTTTGACCCACAACCTATGGGCAGACTTTGTCCAAGCACCCACCAAGGCCTCTTCAGGCATAACTGACTGCGCAATAAACAGAAAAAACATATTAAATAACCATTTCATGTGAAACAGATAGAAAAATGAATAGTAGCACATGCTGCAGATATTATGAATTTAGTACGACTTTGGGAAATACTTTACAAGACGTGAGTGTCACTGAGCATATATCATGGGTCTAGAATGAACATTGTACATTTATAACATACATTAACACCAGCATATGGAAAAGTTCATAAATGTATAGGGCTCCCACTTCCCCACTCCGAAATCAGCTTGATGTCCAGTACTAATATCATGTTTAGTTAGTCCTGGCAACGGGATGGGTATAAAGTGGAACACCTCTCCCACTTCCACAAACCACCCTTGTTATCCCCACCCCGGGTCTCCCATCCCAACCCAGCAATGAAAACCACTTTACAACCATTCATCCATTACCCCATTCAATCAACAAATTTTACTTATTTTATATACATTAATTTAAAACAAATTAAAAACTTCTATCCACCGCTCATCCCATCATTCACAATTTTCCCTCATTGGGCTTGGATGGGACAGGCAACCAACCGGACTTCTTCACCCTATTGTCATCCCTACTTTAGGTCAACTTTGTCACAAGGAAAAGAGCCCAAAATCAGGCCTGCTAATTCTGATAACTGCTAAAATCCAATATGTCTACATTCAGAACTCATTTTAAAAAAAACTATAAGATAGATCCATGTAAATATTGTTCAGTTGCTATTTCCTGCCTATTCAAACATCTATGCATTATGTCTATAAGTAAGACCTGCCACGCATAATCCTTCTTCCTTAGCAGTAAGAGAGAATTAATTGACAGCATACCTCTATTGCATGGACTGCAGCTTTTAGGGATTGCAACTGTGAAGACAGGACTTTATGCTTTGGAAATATAGTATTATCTCCTTTCTTCCGGCAAGTAGCTGCATGGACAGCATATCTTTCTTCCAGATCAAAATCAAGCTCAAATGTGGTATGGCAAATCTTACAATGTTTTTCATCTCTCCAGAACAAATCATGACAGCTTTCACATCTAGCAAGTGAATCAAGATAGGATCTCTTACTATGTTTTACAGCATTTAGATTTAAGTAGAAACCTTCCCATATCCAAGCATCAAACTTTTGAAGACGGCTCCATACACGGTTTTGTTCTTCTCCCCTCTTTCCAACCTCAAGAATTATAGCACCACGTGGGGGCAAAGAATTATTTGCAACCTCATTAAGGCTTAAATTGTCTATATCAGAGACTGGAGAAGAACTGTCTTCTCTAACAACCTCCAACTCTGATGAATCAGAATGTGGCAATTGCCTAACTCCTGCATCATTTATCAGACTACTTGACATTGCTTGGCATAGGAAAGCTTCCCGCTTCTCTAAGGATTCAATAAGGAGGGCTTCCCGTGCACCCCTATCATCCAAAACTGACAACAAAGTACGCAAAGCCTGCATGTGCATTCATCAAATATAAGTAAATATAACCAGTAAAATTGATTAGGTCTTATAAAAGCAACCACCTAAACAGCTCTTAAAGAAGACTTCGAAGTTATCATTTTCAATCTAACTTTCAATTACTGAACATGCATAATAACTGAGAAGTAAAAAAATAACGCAAAGAGTCAAATATAAAAAGGATAAAAAGGTTACCTCTTCTGTATCAATCACTTCCCAGTGACCATCTTCCGAAGATTCAAAATAAACCCTCTTATGACCTGGATCATATGCATTACATGGACCCAAGAAAAGCCAGTATCTATTATACCTACGATCAGAACCCAAAAATATAGATTGCATTGGGTGTACATCAAACACAACTTCTGCATCCTTTTCAAATATTCCACTGGAAGATGATTTCTGCATTCCCGAGATCTTCAAAATTGATGAAGAATCAATTGGATGACACTCTGAAGATGGATATGCTTCCTTAACAGATTGAATCTGTCCAACATGAACCCAAGATGGCCTAGGAAAATTATGTTGATTTGACGACAATCTCTTTATCTTTGCTCCAGAACCACGCTGGTGTATGCTAGGAATGCATTCAATGATAGCTTTTCTGGGTTCCTGATTAGGAATGAACAAATTGAAGTATTTAGAATGTACATCATAAAGGCAACCAGATTAATAATCAAAACGATAATTAATTTATAATTCTCTCCATATCAAGAGAACACTACGTATGGTATTTAGGATAGAATACCATAACAATCCAACAGCTGAACAGGATGACAAGAAGGCTAGTTATTTACAGAAGATACAAAAATATTGATCTTTCCCTGTGTTATTTATATAAGATACAAAAATTGAAGGAAAAAAAGAAAAAGACGAGTTCACTTTCCAATCTTTAGCAGGTTGGTAAGATTGTAACTTATAAATGTGGGAGGAAACTTCAATTCTCCCAGTTTCTTTCTTCCCACTTTTCTCATACCAATATTACACATTTTTCTTCCCTGTTACTTTCTTCCCTCCCCTCTCCTATTAATCATAGCCAATTGAAAAACACAGGTTCCTTATAATGAAATAAACAGACAGACATATTAACACAAAATCTATATAATCTAGCAAAATTATCCAACAGTTTAGGGTTTAGGGTTTTGCTTTTCACATTTTGTGTTTTGTGTTTTGGGTTTCGCTTTTGCATTTTGACGTCGAGCTTCGCGTTTCGGGTTTTTCAGGTTTTGAGTTTCGTGTTTCACGTTTCGAGTTTCTGGTTTTGGGTCTCAGTTTCAGATTTTGTGTTTCACGTTTCGCATTTTGGATTCCAGCTTTCAGGCTTTGGTTTTGCGTTTCAAGTTAAATGCTTTTCGGAAAAGCATTAAACACAACCCCTCAAAACTAAAAATAAGCAAATAAAAATAAGAAGACTTTTTAAACACCAGACTATGTAGAAAATGACCTCTATCACATTAACAAGAGAGAGGTGATACCAAGCCATAGAAAAATAAAAACATTACATAAACCCTCAAATTATAAATAAATAAATATAACAAGACTTCCAAAATAAACACCAGATTATGTATTACCTCTGTTCTAAGCGTGAGACCAGCGCCAAGAAGATCAACTAAAGCCACCAATGCACTCAACTTCTCTTCGATGCTTAAATCTGCATATTCACCTTCCATCAATCCTAATAACCATGCTTCCCCAGGATGGCTCTCATCAATTTCAGTATAGACTGACAGAACATTTTTACTTTTACGACAGCTCCTACGCCTAGGTTTGCTTAGACTCAGAGTTTCTGAATCACACTCAGAATCACTGCTGTTGCTAAGCAGGCCACCATCATCAGAATTATCATCAACACTGCCAGAGTCCTCATCATCCGACTGGGAATCACTGGCTTCACTTGCAAGAGAATTAATACGCAGACGATATGCAGATTGCGATATCTTTTCAAACAAAGTAATATCACTTGAAAGAGTTGAACATATCAATCTTTCCAGTTCCTCAGTAGAGGAAGCAAGATTCAGTTCAGCAATCTTCAGAACAAAAACAAGTATTCATCATAAAACAACTTGAAAGCAGCATTAACAATCAATAATAATCATAATAGCTTGGTCCACAACATCTCCAAAATTATCTGTTTATTCCAATTACTTACCTTTGAATGCTTTGCCAAGTCAGAAACATTTAACCCGCTACTGCCTTGTTCAGAAAGTGATCTAAACAATTCACCCTTCAACGTACCAGGACGCAGGCCACACTTTGCCATGAGGTTCATTTCCTAGATAACATAAAACAGCTTATAATTTGAAAGCTGAATCCAACTAAATTTTTTCTCTGAGGAAAAAGGAATAAATGTAAAATGTTAAGGATCCTAATGTAAACAGAAACATGAACACTACGATTAAAGAAATGTATACCAGACATCACCTGACAAAATCAGAAGTAATATGACCTGCTAATACACTTGAATGCTATTTAATAAGTACTGACTTACATAAAACAAGAACAAAAAGGAAAAAGGACGTGTGTCCATATATTATAGATATATAAATATATATGTTTAGTGTATATAATTGTTCAGTCATTATATCACTGACTTACAATTAAATGTACTACAGATTATGTAAAGCCACCAATTGAATGTCAGGTTATAATTTTTCCAGGACAGAGATATGTGAAACCATATTTTTAATGTTATGTATAATAACCAAGTATTAAGTAATAATCATTGATTTCAAATAATTGAGAATAAACTATTAAGAAATAATAGGAAAAGTTTAGCCTGGGGAATTCCAAAATTTTTAACATCTAAAGTTGCAGCTAACAATCACATCTCTTCCCCACCACAACTAAAGAAAAAACCTGAATCCCAATTTCCCTTTTATCGGAAAAGCCACCATTAATTTTCTGACAAAGCCCAAGATAGTTTTGACTGCAAAAAAATTCTTCCACAACAACGGTGCTCAATGTGTTCCATGGATGTGAGAACATAAAAGTGGAAGATATCAATTTGTATATAAATATTAAATATTAGTGGGTGTTATAAAGAACACAGTAAATTTGCACTCAAGAGGAAAGGCAAGAAGAACGTACCCAAAAATTAATAACAATTTAGTATATATCCTGTTCACTCTATACAAAATCCAGTAGATGATCCATGATACAAAATCCACAGCTCCTAAACTAAAACGAAGCAGGAATCTTAGAATATACAGATGCAAATCTGAAATTATTTAGTCGATACCTTACTAAGACATTCCTTCCTCAAACCCTGCTTTGAGCCAAAGCCAGCCGCAACCAGTACTTGCCGCAATATCTCTATCCATGTTAGAGGATTCAAAGATTTCTTCCAGAATTCCAAAATAAGTTCTTGATTTTCAACCTGAAAATAAAAGGAAAACATGAAGCAAAACTAGAGAGTTCGTTCTTTATCACATTATCAAAGATATATAAAATATATCAAATACTAAAAACTTATTAAATATTGGGCATAGCAGTTTATGCAATTGCAATTAAAAATAACCACTGGGGTATTGTGCTAAAATCACGTGCCTCCAAGACCATTGAATATACAAACCTCTACATCTTCTAGTAAAAGATCAAATTTTCAGAAAATTCTTTGTGGAAACGGTAAGCAATATTGATAATTTTCTATGACACTAGTGACAGCAGTAGTTTGTGTCTTTTCTTTTTCATCCATCCTCAGGCTCTCATTCTGTAACTAGACAGTTGAGACTCACAATCTTCTAAACAGAAACATGCATAAACCACATGGCTTAAGAAACCCAAGGTAAAAGAAATATAGCATAACATTTATAGGTTGATAACATCTAGCTAAAAGCTCAAGCTCCCATGCAATGGGGGTTGATAATAATGGATGTATGTAATTGCTCAAATGATCAGGTTATAGTGGTCATAACTTTTATTCGCATACAAAAGTAACATTTCCTTTACATCCTCCAACTACGGGTGATTTCCAAAAATTTCAAAAACATAAGTTTTTTCTAAACAAATAAAAAATACAAAATTATATTAACAAGCACCAAAGGGGTGTCAATCCATATACAAATTATTTATAAATCTAACAAAATATCAGCAAGATCCCCAACATCCTCCATAAAATAAAGAAAATTACCCAAATTTATAAAGCCGAGTTTGAAACCATCTATTCCTAATCCTCTCAATATCCCCCACATCATCAACTGCCTCAAATACTCTTTTATTTTTCTCCTTCTGAATTACCTAAAAGATGGTAGGTGGGATAAAGTCCACATATTTCCTCTGCCCATAGATGCCTTCCATGCCCATAATTCATCTCTAACTGAACCCGCATCATCCAGCTGATACCCAATAATCCATAAACCACAAACGAAAGCTTGTATACTATCGAACACCATAGAAAAACATGATTGCAAGATTCTGCATCCTTTTTACACAAGTAGCAATAATTCACCAAATTCATACCCCTCCTCATCAATTTATCAATTGTCAGGATGCCTCCCCTTCCAGCCTCCCACGTAAAGTAACGCTATTCTGGGAGGAACTTTAACCTTCCAAGTTAATCTAAAAGGGAAGTCCATACCAGAATATCCCTGCTTTGTCAGATACTTGTAAAAAGATCTGACTGAAAAAGAACCTGTAGTGGTAAGACTTCACAGAGGTTGATCATTGCTACCATCCAAAGTTATGAGACATAAGGTCAATAGGAGATTCTCATACTCATTAATCTCCCAACTGTTACGGTTTCTCAACAAGTCTACCTGCCACTCCTTTTCCCTTCCCCCAATTTCTCTTAAAGAATGAAAATCATTGTTGCATAGACAAGTTGCTTGAATTCTCAGAACGTTAAATCCTGGCTGGGTGCTCTGCCTTCTCATCTCTAGTAATCCAACCCGGAACAAGATCTAATGCATGTACTACAGAATCCCTTTGAAATATTCAAATCGTTTCACTTTATGGGTTATGTCTTATTAAACACATAACATACCCTCACTCCATGACATGTATGATGTAAGACTAATTGGGAAAAGATGCCTCCTTATTGTGGTGTTTTCCAGGCAATGTGAACCGCACTGGGAATACCAATATCAGATGAATAATGCCCAAACCTAGATAATATACCCAGATATTTTGGGATTACATACCTGAGAATGATTGCTTCATAAATTAAGATTACTTCACAAAATTACAATTAGCATAAATGGGTTAAAGAATTCAACAAGTAAAGTCCTCTCTTTGAAAGTTACAACAGTATTTACAAAATCCAATTTACCCCTAGCCTAACTACAACTTGAAACTAACAGAATTTAAACTATAGATTCATGTTAAACAAGATAAAATCTTACTACTATTTAAAACTTACAATAGATATGACTAGAACTCCTACCCAAACTACAATGGCAAAATTAGAAAATCACCCAAATATACTTAGACTGTTATGTAACTTAAATAAAACAACATCAGCACTACAAGGAAATATAATTCTAAAGATCCATGGTGCACAACTAAACATCTCACAATTGGCCATTATCTCAAACCAACTTATGAACATTGGAATCAGCCTCGGGCCTTCTGGACACCTTTGGAGGCTGCAGCTAGCATGGCCCATTAATACATGCAAAACAATGAACTTTGATAGCATACAATGGCTTCATATTTCATGGGAAAAGATTTAGCAACTTGAATGAAACATGCGTGCAGAAATCAATATCATTTGCCATTTTATTGACAGAAACTCTTAATAAGATGCTTTGATAAGCACAGTTATGTACTCACCGAGTGAAGTAAGGCAAGGAACTTGCAAGAAACACTCAAATTAGGGAAAATCCCACTGCTGAGTCCCATTTCAACGTCTAGCAAAAGCAGCTTGAGAAGGGCCACATGAATTTTCCCAAGTAACAACGAATCCTGTAGCATATATAAACAAAGGAGCACAAACACCCAAAAAAAAAAAAAAATCAACAAACATTAACCTAATGTTACTCATGACAGGAGGGAAAAATAAGTAAAAAAATAAATCTGATACATTATAGGACAAGATAGAAAGAAAAAGAACATCAGAAATAACCTTATCATGAAATGCTTGAGCAAACTCATCAAGCGTGAAGGGGCACACACCAAGGATAAGTGAGTAAGTATAAAGAAAATGAAAGACCTGCAGAAACAAAGAGTTGATTCACAAAATCTTTTGTGAATGATGTATTTTAAATTTGCAGAAGAAACAGATGAATTAGAAGATCCTTAACCAACTAAAAGCTGTACACACCTTAAACAGTTTCTTTACAGTCTCTGGAGAAGAATCCCATGGCTGCAAACCAAATGGCTGCTTCATCTTTATATTGTTTGGGGGAAACTTAGCCAGAAAGTCTGGAAAATTATAAAAAAAGGTTGTGATAAAAGGAACCAAATATACCAGAGACACTCACAAACCAATGTATGCATCTTTTGTGTCTTCTAAATTAATATCAAACCAACCTCTGCAAAGGGAACAACCACGCAATCCACTGGCACCAAGATGATCTGAACATGTCAGTGGATTTGGTCCTGCACGTAACTCTCTCATTTCCAACTCTTCATCATCCACTAGCATTGCAGATTGATCCTGGCAAAAATTGCGTACCTCTCCATCTAGAGCAAGTTCACATTTTTCTTTGCATGAAAGATTAAGACTATCTTTATCAAATCCTACCTGTCAGATAAGGAGTGAGTTTATGCTATTCTGCAGCTCAACTAAAGTGATTTAAAAAAAGCAACCAAAAATATTACATTTACCTCTCTCCTTTTAATGGGAGGCTTCCTCTTCTCCCGCAATTTATTTTCTAGTCTTTTCTGTTTCTGTAAAAAGCAAATGATTTAGAACGAAGCCACTGAGAGACAACTTAATTAAGGAATACATGGATGCATCATCTGATATTTTGAAGGGAAGAAATCAACATAAGTTCAATTTCCCGAATGTAATGCTAAATGACTAACCAATATGGACGCCAGCTGTCTTGGTCTTTTCTTCCGCAATGGGGGTTTAGGCAATATTGGAGTTGATATTTGCAGTAAATCTGTGTTTTGTTTACTAGACCAACCAAAACCAGGAGGGGGATCTCCACCATTAGGATTTACGGCTCGCCAAACAGTCATCAAGCCTTTCCCCATACCATGTTTATTCCCTGCTGCCTTTTCATTGCAATCCTGACAATCAAGAAGACTCTTCTTAGAAACCTGGAAAACAAGGCACGTTAAAACTTAAATAAGATAAAAAGGAGGCATAACAATAAGTACAAATAACTGTCAAAGCTGAGAAGACTCAGACAGAAAGAAGGCCGTGAAAACAGTTAAAGACACTTCCATTACCTTTCTCCTTTTTTTTGCCCTTTGTTTTTCTTCATACGAAGCTTGAGAATTTCTAGAATCTACACGCGTCAAAAAAGTATAAGATATTTAAAATCTCTGTCATAGAGCAATTTTCATTTGAACATGCTGCACAGGAAACTGCATAAATATCAAATAGAAAACATACTCTTCCTCATTCTTTCACATTCATTCTAAAGCTCTTCCTTAAAATAAATATTGGAACAATCACAAAGACTATACCAGTCACTCCTATCTGTCACAAGCCTGCAATTTCCCAATGACTTAACACAAAGCAAAAAATCTCTCATATCAGGAAGCAAACTGCTTTTTCTTTTATTTTTCCATCTCAAGATAAGGGAGAAATTTATCTTGGAATAAGATGGATCAATTTATTAGGCACTATGACAGTACCACCCATATATAATGGATTTACAGAAGATCAGAAACCAACATGTCTATGAGGTCAACCAAACACTCACCATCTAGAATAGGATACCCTGTAAATAGGGCACTCAGGTTTGGAACAAAAATCTCTAGTTCTATGAAAAGTAGAGCAATTGCTATCAAAAAACTCTTTTTTTTCTCTCTCAAAATAACACAAAAAGTACACATAAAATAAGAGTAAAGAATCATTTCCTGGATTTACATGGTCTACTTCCCAACCAGGCCCATAACTCTCGTCTACCAACCTAGGAAAGCCAACCTTTACAATATTTTAATTTTATTTGGAAGAACCAGCAGTGACATAGTGATTATGACCACACTAAAGATACTAAAAGCAATTTTCATGCCACTAAGAAAGTCTAATAAAGCAACAGAAGTGGAAGTATTAAGCAACACACCCATATTTTGATGAAATACTTTTGAAGGAAGAGAGTCAAATTGCACTCCAAGCGGAGGACCATCCTTACGAAACAACTTTTTCAAAATGTAGCCCGGAGTTAATAAATCTTGAAGAATAATTTTTTCTGCTCTCTTGTTGATACTGCTCTCTTTCCTCGTAGATGTACATTCGTATCTTGAAGACAAGGTCTTAGTCTTCGATCTATCAGTTTCATTATCCCTTTTATCCCTTCTCCTTCTCTCAATAAACCATCCTCGAACTTGCTTAGATGTCAACCCCAAAGCTGAAGCATAGCTTTGCATCGCCTCTTGTGTGGGATAGTTTTCCTCTGTATTCATGGAACACCACCACCTTAGATAATGACATGAATATACTATACAGCAGCTAAATTGTATGTTGATCACAGAAAAGAACTATAAACAAAATCATTTCCTAATTTCCGGCACTTTTTCTCCCTTATTATGGATTGATTTCAAAGCAGAAACAGGGCAATAGCTTAATTTTTTTTGTCCTTTCATAATGACAAGAAATCTTTTGCAAGTAAACCTGGGAGCTTCAGCCACTCCTGGTTAAGCACCAGGGGAATCTGGAGCTTCAAGAAAATACTGGCAACATGAAGAGAACAAAACGGTTTCTAATTTTTTTAAGAAGGCTATTCTTCTCATTATTATTCATGCCAGACATAAACAAGAATAAACCCACAAAAAAGGAAGTCTATTCCAGATTAATCCAAGTTCTTAAAACAGATATCAAAACAAAAAAGGAAAAATAGGGTTGCATATAAAGACAAAGCTGTGCACCTGTATAGAAATCCTCAAGGGTCTGAAGCTGAAGTGGCGTCTTCCTCTTCATTTTCACTGTCCACCCTCTTCTTTTTAACTTGAATACGTCCCTCCTTATCCACTTTGTTTAACTTAATTAACTCAAATTGCACATGCGCAGAAGAGCCAAACGCTCTTAAACATACTGCGAAGTTCATCCAATCAAACAACAGTTTCTTAGAAAACCAGTAAAAGGATAAAGAATAAGAAATCAGATAGAAAGGTCATAACATAGGGGAAA